TTTGGTTCTGGCAGTATGAATTTTCAGTTCAAAAGGTTGGCAACACTGTGTGAGACTAATAAAATCCTTGTTGAATCATTTAGGAAATTTTCTGCTTGTGATTTTTTTTTAAAGGGACAAATAGGCCTATTGCATGATTTAGTATTTCGTAAAATGTTTGAATTGGTACTGTTAAGTTAGAAAGTATTGTGTCCCAATGAAAGGAGCCGAAAAAGTCATTTATAAGGTTATAGTCAGCTGACTTAAAGTCATGATAAAAGGAGTTTGCTTGTGGACTGACTATACGTGACTTGCTCTGGAAAAGGTCAAGACAAAAGGTGAGGGGTGGGTGGTGGTTGTCAACTTTAACAATTGGATCACAATGCTTAACATTAAATATCTTAGAAGAAAAAACGATGTCTAATATAACATTGTTATTATTTCTAATTTCATTTAATGGGAAAATTCCGTGATACGCACACATATCAGATACTGCAGTTATACATCATTCCGTGCCAGAGCCAATCCAATTTACTTTTGGCAAGTTCAAGTCACCGACCAGACATATTTGTGCTAGGGGGTATTTCGCCTGAACAAGATCCAGACACTCACCGGTTTGTATGTAATTCTCAGGGGGAGAATTGGGTGGGAGGCATGGGCGTCGTTACGAGGTTTCTCAGGGGGGGCAGCATTTTAAGGTAGTTGATATCGATATTTAGTTAAAAATGATGGTATTTTTTTCCGTAACAAATTCACTGTCCGCATCATTTGTTCAGTGGCGACGCCAGGGGGGGCCACTGGGGCCAGAGGGGGCCGGGCTGCCACTGAAATTTAGCCGGCCCCCCCTAAAATCTTGCTCTCATGTCGGCAACAATGCAATGTAACATGAGCAGCCTCTGTCGGTTAATTCGGTATTCGGTGAGCACAGGCCAAGAATCGTAAACTAACAGGAATTCTCATCCTCATAAGGCGTACATTCGTCAATTCTCGAGTCGGCAGGGCGTGCGAGTGACGTCACTACTAATTAGCAGCATAACAGCTTATAATGATGACGTCACCCGCAGGCCTCGATGGGATGCTCGCGATTCAGGTTGTGCTTGTTTTTTCGTCAATTTTAAATGTAGAAAAGGTGATTTTAACAAGATTATAACGATTACTGTGACCTGTGACTGTCCTAAACTCGGCTAATGCATTTTACGCCAAGTGTTGAGGTGTTCGGCTGAAATGGCAGACATTTTCAGCTCAAGAAGCAGTCCTATTAGGTTGAGTGTTGTTGGGCACCGGCAACTGCGATGCTGCTTTTGGTTTCCTGGGATTACCTCAAAACATAATAGTGTCGACAGGTACTTCCCATTTTTTATTCCAAAGAAAAAAAGCAGTGAAATAAAAACAAATGCCCTCCCTAAAGCCAATTTTTCGAAGTACCTAACAAATTTTGAAAAAATGGAAAAAAGCAATACGAATACAAACTCTTTTACTGCTTTCTTGTTCAAAAGACTATTTCTAGGGGGGGGGCAAATGCCCCCCCTTGCCCCCCCCCAAACGACGCCCATGGTGGGAGGTAGATGGCAGCCAAGCTGATTCATGCTGGTTCATGATTTTTTGTACTCATGCATAGAAAAATCAGCTCCAATTCTGGACATGTGGGCACAACGTAGCATGGAATAGATTTGTGGACAGAAATTAATGCACCCCCCAACGACTTTTTAGTACTTGTTACGATGGATCTGTCTTCTCTAAAAAAGTTGTATTTGTTATGTCGTCAGGAAGATTGGTTTCAGTCAACATAACAATTTCATAACTGCCTATTGATACATTGCATATCAGCGTGGATAATTTACTACGAACGCCCTGTACGTTTTGGTAATAAGTATTTAAGTTGATAAGGGCATTGGCAATTATCTGAGGAATACCCTTGATATATCTCAATTTAAGTGAATCTTTACCTTTTGACTTGCGCTCTCGTAAATATATCCTATTTTGTTTTCAGCTTGTTGTTTTATGGTTTGATCGAGGTTCAAGTTAACACTTTTCCGTTTTAGCTTATTGAGTAACTGTACCTTGCTTGGAGAGCCAAGCGTAATTTTGACTGCACGAACGCCTTTTGAGTTCTTTTTGCCAATTCTGGAGAAATTTTGAATTTCAGGCGGGTTATCACTAAGGGTGCTCAGAATAGTTGCAATATCAGCATCATCATCATCTCTTGGCAAATTAAAGAGCATGATGTTGATGACCGCCATGATTGGCGGTCTTGCATTTTTTGCCACACGGTTGCGGTGTCAGCATTTGACAAGCTGATCTTGTCAGAGGTGTTTATCTGTTGATCCGCAATGTTAATTTTTATGTTCAAGTACTTAGTAAGCTTGTCAACCTGGGCTATTCAACTTTTCATTGCTTTCCTGTAACGTTTTCACCTCGGTTTTTAGAAAGTTAATGTTTTCTTGCATTTCCTGGTGGTTACGGATCAACAGACTTGAGACTATCTCGGCAATCGTCGCAAAAATATATTCATATTTGCTTTTGAAGTACGATAACTCTGACTTCTGAAGTTGATAGTTGACTGCAGTCCTTGGTTAAATGGGTGTAGGATCGACAGCTGTCGCAAGTTACGCAGTCAGTGTCCGCTTCTATTGGATTTTTGCATAATTTGCACTGCCGCGGCAAAGCGATGACTCTATCCTTAATATCAACCAAATCGTAGCAACACTCAGTGCAAAACAGATTATTCTGCCCTCCGTTCTACCTTACCCGGAGTTAGTTGCTATTAGAACAACATTTTTGTTGTAATTTCAGAATGCCAAATCAAATTAAATTCCAGCTTGCAGCCCACTCAATTCCCGCAAATCCCACTCAATTCCCGCAAATCCCACTCAATTCCCGCAAATCCCACTCAATTCCCGCAAATCCTGACAATAACCAATGTTGTTCACTTGAAATATAGAATAAAATCCATAAAAATATTTATGGAAATTCTGTTTACTGATGGATCTAGTTTATTACCACTTTGGATATTGTCTCAAGTTATCTACTACAGAGTAATTATTGAAATTATTTGGATCTTAGCTAGCAGGAGTCGCCTGGGCCTTGACTGTCACTCCATGTTATACGCCGGCTTTAATTTTTCTGACCTAATTCTATCAAAGTGATGCAGCTCTGCTTTGCTCTAGCAATGACTTTCCTATTTATGTTCTTCTATCAGCAGAGAAATAGTTAAGAATTCGCAATAAACTTACGCTATGGAGCTATTTTGGCCATATTTTTCTAGAGCAAAAATGTTTCATTTCCTCAAAACTATAATTTGTACTTTCCTATATGTTTCCCTTTATTTTATATTCTTTGGTTGTTTTCTTAACGCGATTGGTAAAAAGTTTCATATTGTCATTGTGTTTTAAATGACATTCTTGTAATGTGGAATACCTTTTTTAAGACTTACTTCTTGTCTTTTCTTGTGTCATACACTCATTCCTCATACCTTCGTTCACTTCTTTGTACATGTTGTACAAAGTAACAGGGGGAGGATTCTCATCCTCTAGTCGCAACCTACCTATCGTCTCGACTCACCCGTAGAAAGGCAATGGGATAGTCGGGACTAGAGGATGAGAATCCCCCACCAGGACAGCGTTTCCGCTCTGCAAGACAAGCATTCTGTCAGTGAATGTTTCAGAAAATGACACCGTATTTCTGACACTTGACAGCACATAAGCGTCCCCTGTGCGCCCAAGGATTCGACGCTTATGTCTAAATAGCTCTACACCACTGGCAATTACCTAGAGCATTAAAGCCAGAGCAGAGCGCCAGTGGCGGCTCTTCCTTAGGTTTGCAGGTTTGCGCAACCCCCAAAACAAAACTTAAAAAATATAAAACAAAAATAGTAGAACTAAATTTTAGTACCTAATTATATTTAAAAAATAAATTATACCAAAATTTGGGACCTACATAATACGCAGTCAATTAATAAAATAATTTGACCAACTTCGCCAAAATATCAATAACTGACAGGCCGCCGGCGACTTCGAGTAGCGACGTCGAGTCGCTGGATTGCAGCTCCAAAGCAAACCGATCTATTATATGACGGCGCATGGATTGCATGGATTGCGTGGATTCGAAATCCGCCCCATAAGCTCCAGCAGGTTGCAAGCGAAGTGCAAACTTTGTTTATTTTTTTTGCTCGCAGCACAGATTAGGTTTGTTTTGTGAAGTTTTGTCGTGTGGGGGGTGAAAAAAAAATGAATTCTGTTCAAAATTTAATTGCCAAGCCATTCTGTGGTCGGTTCATCAACCGATAAGGCTCAAATAAAAAGACTTTGAAGGCCTACTGCAAATTTAAAAATTGAACAAACTGTAACTAGCAAAAAAAGGACTTTCACCAGGACATTTAATCTGGACCTTTACGAAAAACATGCATGATTCTACAATTGAAATTGCAACCCCCACATTTTTAATATACGAGCCGCCACTGCAGAGCGCTCCACAAGAACTTCTTTTTAGTTCTTTTGAAAGTAAGGCGGAGTCATAACGCATTCGAACATAAATCTCCAGCCAATCGACTTTCTGATGTAGCACCTGTTGCCGGATGTATCGGGCAGAAAGATATTTCAAAGATATTATTCTAATTTTGCAAATTTATTCATATTGGTAATTGTGTGAAATGGACAATGAATCAATGTTTTGGTTAGAAACGATATTACTTTTCATTAAGCAATAAAATTATGTGTTTGTGATTGCCTCAAAATTATTAATTGTTAAAAAATTTTGGAGATACCTACTGGACAATTTTTTGTTCCTATAGTTTTGGGTATTTCGGTTATACTTACGATTATTTTAATAAACTGTGTTTCAATCGGGCACATGGCAATGGCACACATGGCAATAATATTTTGGCGGTCTAGGTGTGTCCCATGCCCCTACTTCCTCTATGAAGTTAGCTAGGGCGCAGCCCCCTCCCCAGATCCTAACTGTAGCGTGGGGACTTGAATAAAGACACTCGGTTGTGTCCGCGGTGTCCGCTTCAATATCAGTCTTTCAGTTTCAGTCTTCGGTTAACGTTTGTTGGCATTAGAGCGCGCGCGATAAATCTCATGATTGTGGTCCTTTTCAGTGGTTGAGAGCTCAGACGTTATTCCTTATAATAATATGGACTTGTGATAAAAAAAAAAACATTTAGAGATTTTTTTGCAATATTTCATTTTTGGATTAATTTGCCCTTCAGAAAAATGTGGTACCCGATGAATGATGCTTGCGATACCTGCAAATTGTCATTGTCAAGGTAAAATGTTTGAGCTGGTGAACTGTCTAATTTGATATAGCCAACGAAAGTGAAATCACTTTTACGTTTTTACCGCTTACCGGCGTACTATGTACCTTTAAATTTGTATTTAATTTTTAAATGGACATGATTTTATGCACTTGGTTGGCTAAATTATTTTGGATTAATTCTAATTGGGAAGTTTTTTTTGGATATGGATGATATTTTTATTGACACACTGATGGACATCCTGAGTAGAAAAAAAAGACAAAAATTTACCTAATAATATACTCTTGCAGAGAAATTGAACTTAAGAAAATTAAACTAAATTAAGAATAGTTTAATTATTAAGCAAACAAAAACAAATACTACAGAGTACCATTGGCAATACATGCCAATAACATTCACAACAAACACACATTATGAAGAAAAATCCTAATGAAAAAATTATTCGTTTAGAAAAAGAAACCTACAATTTTTACCTCGACTTTAAATTTAGTTTAGTCTTACTAGGTACATTCAAAAATAAATTATACCCACAAAAAAATTCTTTGTACTTTCAATAGAATCGATTCAACCTATATGAGGTAAATGCAGTGGATTGTACTATGAATTTTCCATAATTATGGAAAATATTCTAATTACATTCCAATAACTTAAAAATTATACAAATTTTTCTTAAAAGAAATTGGATGCAGTCAGCCCTTACTTTTCAGAAACTTTTTTGTTTCGTTCCAGAATTTCCAACATTTTATTTATTCGATGCTGTTACATTTTCCAGCCCAGGGGTACATTTTTCAGAGGGAATTTATGCGAACACCAAATGAATAAAATTGTGGAAATTTAGAAACTTTTTTGTTTATTTCAAAATTATTTTTTTTTGCATTCTTTATATTAAAAAAAAAAATCCTATTAGAATTCCGGCCGTTTCTTAGTAAGTACTTACCTACTACTTTTACCAAAGTCTTTTTATTACTACTGCCAGTACCAGTACTACCTACTCATGTCATCTTATCTTAATAAATTTAAAAAGAAACTGCAAATTTTGTAGGTTTAATTTTTCCTAGCAAAAATCAACATAGAACAAAAACTTCAACCCCATTTTATTCTATTATTGATTTTTTGGTCCCTTCGCTAGGGTACGAATGCGGTGTTGCCAAGAGCAGTTTCTAATTAATTTGTATTTAATTTTGGCTTGGCAATTTTACTTTTTTATAATCAATAAAAATCAATTCGTCAATATAAAATGAGGCCAGTGATATTGAGATGACAACTTTATTCACATATTTCATTTTTGAAATTGCTTCCTCATTAGGAAAGTGAGTTTTCGCATTACAATGTTCGATAAATAAATAAATATTTTGTTTTTGTTCATGCTATTCTGGACTGTTCGTAGAAATTGGACAAAATATGAAAATTATCAAAGAGTTTTGTGACACCAGACCACTTTTAATAACAATAATAACATCAAAAAACCAACTGAATTGAAAATAAATGTCTAAATCAAGCAAAAGCTATTTGAATTGTTGTAGCAAATTATTTTATTCGTTTTGAATTTTGGTTTACGTACATAATAAAAAAATGAATAATCAATTGATTATAATTTCCTTCATTTAACTAATTCGAAATCTGAATTCAATAAAATAGCCTCCATGTGGTAGATGGGTATGAATAAACATACCTATTCAATTATTGATGATACTAGTACTCAGTATGAAAACTATGTAGTTTCATCAGAGTGAAATTGGCTTTTTTCATTTTTATATTCGATAAATACCTAGGTACCCAATAAATTTCAAAACCTGTAATTGACCTGAAAAATTATTACTTCTCATTATGGTTGGCCTTTATTTATCCTGTCATTCATACAAATTATTGAAAACATCAATGAAAACTGTTATGTAATACATAATTTGAGTTATTTAAATATAAATTATATTTTTTCTTACTTTATAATGCTTACCTAATATTTTCTTTTTTTTTTGTAGGAAACGGGCTTCCCGTGCAGGATCTGAAAGTCCATTTCTAGAAGACAAAACTCTCAGTCCTGTAAAAAATGAAGATATGTCATTATTCGACGGCGTCCCAAGTGCTCCTGTTACCTGTACATCAGGTTCTCCTGGATGTCCTCACAGACGAACTTGGGACGACATGGACCCATCCTCCCAGGATTCCGGTTTCCATGGAGAACTTGCAAGGTTCAATTCTTATGGCTCTCCTAGCAGAGGACTGTTGTCTTCGTCTTTCGGCTCGGTGTCAGTATGCTCCATAGAAGATGATTTTTTGGAGGATTTTGCCGACATTGAACCCTTGGAGAAGCAACCTACTCTACAGGAAGATTTGAAGCTCACTAGTGTGCCACTTGCAATAAAATCCAGGCCAGAAGAAAAATCTTCACCCAAAGACACAATCATAAGACCCCTATTTCGACGCGCCCTATCATTGCAAAATACAGGGACATTTGCAACCCCGAGCAAAGTTCGAACCAGTCTTTTTGGTCTAAATGATGACAACGAGGATAATAAAGAAAATAAGGTGTCGTTCAAAAGAACTGAACCCCCAACAGACTTGGAAAATAAGTTGATCAAACGTTCGAAATTTTTCAAGGAGTTATCAGCTCCCCATTCACAGGCTTCCAGACCCATGAAAGCCCTATTCAAACGACAATTTTCTGCTACAGAGGAAAGTATTATGTGCGCTGTCAAACGGTCATCGGATGAACCTGATTTAATCGGGGACTTTAGTAAAAGCTATTGCCTCCCATTGACCCCTGGCAGACACCAAGACCTCAAATCAATTACTGCTGAAACGTTGGTTAAATTGATGAAAGGAGAATTTGGTGAAAAAATTGAATCTTTCAAGATTGTTGATTGCCGATATCCATACGAGTTTGTAGGGGGGCATATTAAAGGAGCCCTCAACATCTACACTAAGGAGCAAATTAATGAATTATTACAAGCTAATCGGAATGTGTGCACTAATGCAAACAAGAGACACATTCTTGTATTCCACTGTGAATTTTCAAGCGAAAGGGGTCCTAATTTGTAAGTATTACCTGACTGATTATTTTTTCCAATTATAACAATATTTTGTTTTTTTTTACAGATATCGCTACTTGCGCAAAGAAGACCGCACAAAGAACATGAGCGACTATCCGGCTCTGCACTATCCTGAAATCTATCTACTGGAAGGCGGTTATAAAAGCTTCTATCAACAATTTGCTGATTTGTGTGTACCAATAGCATACAAAGAAATGCTGCACCCAGATCATGAAGAAGATCTGCGTCATTTCAGGCAAAAATCCAAGACCTGGAACGCTGACACCAGGCAGAGACCGGCAAGGAGTCTCAAAAGATTGTAATATTTTTCTTTTTTTTTTACCTATAATAGTACAAATAATACCTATTTGCTTATTTTAAGTTTTTTCGTTTTGTCTTCTTCTATTCTGGGTACCTTTGTTGATTGTCTATTTTCATGTATGCGCAACAAAATTACTTAATACCATATAAAATTGATATAAATAGAAGGACAAAGTCTTGCTTTAAAAGAAATTATATTGTACATAAGAGAATTTAAAAAGTAGCTTTCTATGCTCACTCATCTAATGAAGGGCCTATTATGCAATGCTACCCACCAAAGTTTATTTGTTTATTTTTTTTTTTTTTTTGTTTTATACAGTTGACTTAATGGACATCAGTCCTCTTTACCTATTTTATTTTTTTTAAGTGCAATTATCCTAGCAATACTATTGTGATTATGCTTTCTCTATCAACTGTCTTGGAGCCTTACCTCCAACCAGTCGGTCAGAAAAGCATCCTATATTTATTTTTTTAAATATTTTTGCTTATGATTTCAGTATTTGTCTAGCATATATTATTTTTGTATTTTTTAAGCAAAATTCAAGAGGCGATTTTCTAATATTCAAATTATTAGATTTGTTTATTGGCAGACTGAATTTTTTTTTTTGCCTTTCTTGATTTTTGCACATATTCATAATTAAAATTATACTACATAGCATAGTTATAATAATTATTGTATTATAGAATGTTATCTTCATTTAAAAATAAAACTTTTTTTATTTAAATTGAATTTTTGTATTTTAATTACTCATCATCCCTTGAAAAATTATTCTATTTCATAAGGAATAATAATACAAAAGTCAAATCTTCTATCAATAACAATGTCACTAATATGTTTCTTTTGTTATTGTTAAAGATTAATCGGAACGGAACCAACTTGTCCTACCTCTGGGCTATAGACTTTGCTCTGGGTACCTGAGGGTGGTTTTGTGTGGTACCTGTTCTTTTTGAAATGTGTCCACTCAATAATATTTATCTCTACACCTACGGAAAGCCTATTGATCTCCACCTTTAACTTCTTTTGTGCTTTTTAAAAGTAAACAAACCGCAAATAGGGCTTGCCTTGCCATTGACTTGACTTTCTTTTTCATTCGGCGATATGCTGCTGTAAACAGGGGCAGGAATATGATTATGTATTATTATTTAGGGCTTAATTAGCAGTAAATGTTACAATTCTCTATAGAATAAATTACTTAGACAGGTAGTGAAGTGATTTAATAAGAGATTTTGTCATTCAATATTGAATGAAGGGAATAATCCTTTGAAGTAATAAACAATTTTTCAGCAAAAAGTGGTAATTTACCTATACAGCACCGAAAATGTTGTGATGAAGCCGATTGTAACAGGTTGAAATCACCGTTACAAGTTTTGCTTCACTACATAGTCAAAAACAAATAATCAATAAATCTCAACAACTGTTCTTATAAATTATTTATTTTTCTCTAGATTAGATAAAAAAATGCATCAGACTCCCGATAAGGCGCCAATTTTCCTTCGAGTATCTTCACCATTTTGTTTGACGTCCTTCAGAGTTAATTTTATTTTAACTTTTGCTAGATTTTTGACCCTACAGAGTGATTACAAAATGGCGTATAAGGTCTCCACTACGTTGTGGCGGACCCTGGAGAATCCTGGAAACCATTTTCTCGAGAAGTGCAGGGAAAAAAGCACAGAAATGGGGATAATATACAGGGCAGAGCTGAGAAGTGGAATGAAGATGAAACAAAAAACTGCTGATAGAATTCATCTACTGCCTTAATTAGAAAACGTCATTTTTGAACAAAGAGGAAAATTGTTGTTTTTCTCCCTGGGAACAAGCCTTTTCTTCCCGTTGGAGGACAAAAAGAACAGAAATGTTCCTCTTTCTAAAATAAGTAAACCACTAAATTTTCAGGAAATTCGTATATACTACGAGATCAGTTTCGCGCTGGCATTTGCTGTTTTTTTTTTTTCAAAGGCATTGAATTTCGGTATGGGGTATGTAGGTTTGACAAATGTCATCTTTTGACATATGTTTCAATGTTTGGCAACTTCCGGTTTAACCGGCAATTGCCGTAACCTCATGATTTCGAATGGCATCCCAAGAATTTTTTCGCTTCTTTGGGATCTGCGGATCATGATTTTGTATGAAAACCTTTTTGAAAAGTTAATTCAAAATTTATTTTTTTAATAGAAAGTGACAGAATAATCTTGTTTTTTTTTTTAACTCACACGATTGTAAAAAAATGCGAATGCGATGTTGTTATCTTTTGCTTCTTCTCCAAATAAGGCTTCCACAAACCTGGAAAAATCACATTTTACGTGATAACTCAATGAAATCACCCAACTTTCACAACAAGAGCTTTTTACAAAGTTCTCAAAAATACATGTCCAAAGGGGAGGGGGGTCTTTCTTCCAAAATTTGTCAAATTTCAATTGTTTTTATGTGGAAATTTCGACTTTAAACGATCATTTGAGACGCCACAAACTCCATAAAGTGATTTATCTTGGAATTTGATGCCGAAATCTAATAGATAAAATTCTCATAATGTCACAGTGTGAGTTACAATACTCCTCCGAAACGGCTTTACCGGTTTTTGTGATACTTTATATGTATATTTGGTAGCTCTGAAAATCGGTCGTAATCTATTTTTTATACCCCTAAGTGATAAGGGTGGTCCACCCCAAAAATTTTTATTTTTTTTTGCTTCTCACCACTACCTAACCCAACTTTTTTTTGTTTGCGCATTCAACCGACGTAACAGTATTATCTTACAGCATTTTCGACTTTACCGCTCCCAGAGCTCTCCCTATTTGGATGGTAACGTCACAGATCTCTGCGGAAGTGCTCCGAGAGCGATTATGATCCAAACGAGGAGCGAGGGCACCCTATTTAAAATCAATAGCCGAACGTACTTTATTGTTTTGAACTAACTCTTTGATCTATCGAATTTTTCAGAGCAAGAAAGAGCGCTCCGTGCGAGATTTGAGAGCGTTTATTGCTCGAACACGTGAATCTCAACGCTCCGTTTTAAAGCCGAACATGTGAATCCGTTTTGGATCGCTTTTTAATTAATCGGGAGCAGTTTTGAGACAAAAGTCGAAAGCTCTATTATTATATTATATATCTTTTATCGTCAGATTACGCGGACCTTAACTTTCATTACATAATATTCCTTATATGACGTCATCTATGATACATGATAGAAACATTCATTTAGTTTTCGACCTCGAAAAGGGTGAGTACAACTTGTGAATATTGTGATAGGTTATGTTTATGTTATTTTATTAGGCAATCCAAATCACGTGATTCAATATGACAGTGCACTCCAGGCCAACATTTGATCCTGTGTTAATTGTGTGAATTTTAATATGAATTGTTGAATCGGTGGTTATTGACGATTCAGACGATTTTTTTTGTTTTCTCTACATTCTTTGGACATTCCTGTGCCTGAGTTTATTTATTTGGTGGTTCACTTTACAAGAATAATGTCCACAAGGTACCTAAAAAGGGATGATGGTTTTAGTTGATTTAGGTGATTTCTGATCCAGAGAGTAAACATTAATTTTCTTCAACCAAGGCCAAATTCATCGAAAAAGACTGAATTTAATCCAGCTCTAGATACGTTAACGCAACATTTAATAATTCTGATTTCTGAGGCGGTACGAAGTTCGCCGGGTCAGCTAGTATACCTATATATAAATTCCTCTTAACGCGATTTTAGCTCATGTTACGGGAGGTAAAGCACTTTTTTCATACTATGATATGTAAATAGCTATTTTGTCCAGGTTTTAGGCTATTTTTTCTCCCAAATTTTTCTTTAAAAAAAAAGGGGGGAACTGAGAACAGATCTGGGGTAAAATTTGTTTTGTCAAAATGGTCGACCTTTTTTTCTTGCAAATTTAATGTCTGAAAGAAAAACTGAAGAAAAATGCAAAAGTAGCCAGAATAAAGCTTCACTCTCACTTGGGCGAATTTCGCGGATTTTTGACAAACAATTTCCATTCCGCACATTCGCGTATTTCATCCATACTCATAAACGCGAAATTCGCCTACGCAAAAGTTCGGATGAATCGCAAAAAAAGTTTAAATAAACTTAACTATTTTGTGAATTTCTGTCATTAGGAACTTCTATTGTCGCAATAAAGTATAGTTTCATTAATGATTCCAAAGTTACTTAAAATTTTCTTAATATTTATGAGGTCTTGGGCACAAGCAGCCGCTGCCACGTACTCCGCTTCTGCGGTCGATAGTGCTACACAAGTTTGCTTTTTTGAGAACCAAGATATTGGGTTTTGGCCATAGAATATCATACAGCCGCTTACGCTCTTTCTGTCACTTTTATCTGTTGCCCAATCAGCATCTGAATAACCTTTTAATACAAAATCATTGGTATCATTTTTATAGTAAGTCAATCCTTTTTCTTTAGTTTCTTGTAAATAGCGTAGAACTCTTTTTCCAAGTTTCTGCAGTTGGTTTATCCAAGAATCTGCTCAAATAGGAAACTGAAAATGTTATTATATCTGGCCTGGTCGCTGTTGATAGATACATTAATCTTCCAATCAATTGCCTAAATGGCACTTCTACGATTTTGCTATCTGGATTATATTGGAATCTTTTATCCATTGGAGTGTTTTTCCCTTTACATTCTTCCATTTTAAAATTGACTAGCAGTTTTTCTATAAATTTTCTTTGATTTATTTCTATCTTGTCCTCTGTTCTACTAACATTCATTCCGAGAAAGTTTTCAATCTGTCCCAAATCCTTTGCTTGAAAATATTGTTTCAATAGTTTGACTGTTTCTTCCACTCCATTATTGTTTCCAACTACTAACATATCATCTACATATGACAAAATCTAGACATTCTCATTACAATACAAACAGCAATCATATTTTGAACGTTCAAACTTATTCTTTACAGCAAAATCATTAAATGTATCATTCCTAACTTCTGGTGCCTCTCTGAGTCCATGCAGTGCTCTATTTAATTTCAATACATGTGTTTTGACTCTTGATCCTAGTGGTGCATAAATGTATATGTCACTCTTTAATTCTCCATTCAAAAAAGCAGAAAGAATATCTAACTGTCGTATTTCCAAGTTCTTTTGCAATGCTATAGACATCAATAATCTTATTGTAGATATTCTGGCAACTGGTGAATATACTGGATCCTTTATCTGAAATCCTTTTGCAACAATTTTGGCTTTTTAAATACCGCCTTCCTTTGTCCTAAATACCCATTTTGTCTGAATAGCAGTCTTTTCAGCTGGTAAATCTGCTTCTGTCCAAGTATTGAGTTTTTCATGAGAATTTAATTCTTTTTCGATAGCTTGTCTCCATTTTTTTTTTTATCGCATCTTTGTACTCTACTGGATCACTGTGATCAGTAGACATTAAGCAATATGCATTGTAGATCTCATAATCATTTAGATATTTTGGTTTATAAATCTGTCTACCTCTAGATGTTTCATCCATTGTTGGTATAGTTTCTTCTAGATTCTCATTACTATCCATTTCTTCTCCATTACTATCATTTGATTCGCTTTCATCTTCATAAACTTCATTCTCAATATTGTTTTCTTCTTCTTCTATACCTAGTTCTTTTCCAATCTGTAATATTATATCTTTTTTGTCATTATTATTTTTAGTTTCCAATATATTATTCTAATTTGTCTGCTTTTCATTAAACCTAACATCTCTTGAACGAAAAATCATATTCTTCTTATACTCCTATAATCGATATCCT